CTTCTTCTCGGCATCAGCCATTAGCTGCATGGCCTCCTTCTCTTTCCCGGTGTTATCCATGGCTACAGATGGGGGGTTAGGCCTGAGCCGGGATAGGTGTCAGAAAACAAGCTAGGATAAGGACCAAGTGATAGGGCTGGCGGGTGATCGGCGGGGCCGGGGACCCCAAAGAGGCGACTGACGGCCCCGAAGGTAAATGACAGCTCACTAGGATGGGAGACTACAGCCCGAACGCTGACACAGCGCTACTTCCGCCCACACTGCTCACGTGATCGACACATAAACGCCACTTCCGCCCCCAGCTCGGCTCAGCTGATGCTTTCCCTCACGTGACTGATTTAAATCCCCGCCGCCTGTGTAGCGCTAGCGCGCAGGAGAGTCTGGATTGCAGCTCAGCGGAAGGATCGTGCGGTGTACGTATCGCTGTGTTTATACATCATTGTGTGCAAGGTTCTGGCTAGCAGAAAGAGGTTTTCCTGTATTGGGAGCTGCCTTTTCTTCATTAAAATACCAAATGTCTGTCTGTCATGCAGATCTGAGCGGAAGTGAGAGAAAATTCCCCCCTAAAGCCTTATTCACATGGGATTTAATTGGCTGGTTTCTTGTAGCAGGAGTAGTTATGGATGGCGCTTATCCCCTATGTAGCAATGACCGGGCCCGCTGCTGTCTCCCACTCTTCACATGGATCAGCACATCAAGAGCTGTTGACGGATAACCGGCCTTGGATGCAGGTTGTGCCAAGGGATGGCCATTTGTCCCTAGCTGCAGATAACTGCTGGATGTATGAGGAAAAAGTATTGTCAAAGGAAAAGTCCTTTTTTTTGGCCACCTTCTTATAGAAGAACTGGGGGGGGGGTCTTAACCTTTGCAGTGGAGCTCGTTTTTGTCTAGGAGTGAAAATAAAGTTATACTTGCCTGAACCTCAAGGTTGGCTGGCTGTTAGACCAGTGTACCACAGCCTCTCTTCCCCCCCCACCTCTCTGGTGATCTAAGGTCCAGTGAGTCATCATGTTTGTTATACAATGTATTGTTTGTGAGGACACTGAGGGACATTCCATTGCTGGAGTGAAAGAGACAGGCTGGCGGAATGGTCTAACAGCCAGCTGGCTGTGAGGTTTGGGTGAGTATAACTTTATTTTCCCACCTAGATGAAAACGAGCAGTTAAAGGGAAACTACTCAGGAGTTAAATCTTAAAAATGCATTTAAGTATCTTGACTATTAACAGAAATGTATCGGCTGTAGAGCCTCAAATCATCTCTGAATTGGTGCGGACACTGTCCTTCCTTCTGGAGGGGGGCTACTTTTGTTCCCCATGGTCCATGTGCGTGTTGTAAAGTAGCCACCGCTCCAAGCTCCTTCCTGTGATGGACTACAATCTCAATACACATTGGTAAACTCACCGGGTTAGTCACTAAAGGGTGAAGGGTTTGGAGGAGGCAGGAGAAGTGAACAATCTAGGACAACATAGCTGGAGTGGAAAGCGAGCTGAATTGGAGATTTTTTCCAAATCGGCTATTTCGTCCTAGATTGTTCACTTCTCCTAACTCTTCACCATTTTGTGAATAGCCCTGTGAGTTTACCAATTTGTATTGAGATTGTAGTCTATCACAGGAGCGAGCTTGGAGCGGTGACTACTTTACAGGATCTACAGCCGAGTGATACACAAATAAGATATATTTCTGTTAATAGTTGAGGTACTGCAATGCGTTTGTAAGATTTAACTCCTGAGCTTAATCTCACTTTAATTCTTGCAATGTGGGGGTAATCCCACTGTAAGGGTTAAGATTTTTTTTTCCTGGAGTTCTTTGAATTTTTCAAAGGCAACATATTTGATATTGTAATTGGCATTTGGGGTGTTGCCAGCAGCCAAGTTCCTAAACTGGTCACAAAAGCAGAATAGTTCCGAAAGGGTTAAAGTGTAACTGAAGCCAAAGCATTTTTTTGTTGTAGTTTTGGATAGATGGAGAGGGATTAGAACACCAGTCTGTGTTCCCCTGAGATTCACCCTATTGTCCTGGTGAACAGCAATGGAAAATCTTCCAATGGGGATGCTAGTTCTGGAATATATTCACACAGAGCAAATTTTCACAGGATGAACAGCCCTGCAAATTGTATCTAAATAGACCACTAAAGGTGGTCCTCTGACCTGTTTAATTAGGGTCTTTAAAAAGAAACTCCTTAAAGTAAAATAATTTGCTAAACTGCTGAAATCAGGATGTCTACCATAGTTACCTCAGTCTGAATTATTTTTTTTATGGTCCCAGGGAACCTGATGAAGTAGGACGTTGGCAATAACTTTGTGTGAGTTTACTTTTCCCTTTATGCATTCTGCAGGTCACAATAGTAATTGTGATGATTGGGAAATGAGCAATAGGCGGAATGTTATCTCTCAGTTCCCTCGAGAGGCAGAGCCAGCTGTCAATCAGGCAGCGGGGTGGATCCCAACAATATGCCTGGTTCGGCGTATTGCATATGAAGGATTGCATAGTAGCTTGCAATGGGGATAGAGCAGAGATATATCAATTATTTTCTGGAAGAACATATGGGCACCCTAATAGATTCCTCAGAGGTGTGCATAATTTGACTGCAGAGACTGTGTGGAGTTGTCAACCTGTTGTCCACAGCATCATAGGCTTAAAGAAGAACTCCAGGAAATGTTTTTATTAAGCCTAGCCCGTGCACTTCAAGGGTTAAGAGAACTATGGCCCAACCTTTTTTGCCCATAGTTCTCTTTAAGGTCACAGGAGTTATACTAATGTCCTCCTGTGACCCAAAACTCAGCATATAGTGGGCTATTGCCTGTTATATTCTGACAATGCAGAGCCACGCCGAACCAGGCATATTGTTGGGATCCACCCCGCTGCCTGATTGACAGCTGGCTCTGCCTCTCTAGAGGGAACTGAGAGATAACATTCCGCCTATTGCTCATTTCCCGATCATCTCCCTGCAGAGAGCGGTGACGGCAGAGCCGTAGCTAGCTCCTTTTGCGCCCAAGGCAAGAACAGAGAATTGTGCCCCCCCAACAGATGTGTGATGTCACCCGACACTGCGCACGAACAGGAAGTGATGTAAAGCACTTCCTGTTCATTCATAACTGGGGACACATAGTACTATGTGCCCCCAGTTATTTACAAACACTGGAGTGCTGATGCCAGCAGGGGGGAAGGGGGAGGAGGGAGCGCTGTCACTTCGGGATGGACGAACGGTAAGGAGAGAGCTGCCGGCTAAAGCGCTCCATGTCTCATCGGATCCCCACCGCCTCTGCCCATACGGGCGGAGAACAGCGGGGATCAGAGAAGCTGGAGCCTGTGCCGCCCCTCTTCTCCCCGCGGCTGTGTTGGCCGCCTGGCGCCCCTATTTCCATGGCGCCCTGTGCTCGCCATGGCAACTGGGGCGAGGGGGCACAGCCAGGACAGTCCTGGCTGCGCCCCCTCTCAGCTGCGCCTGAGTAGAGTGCCTCACTTGCCCCATCGTAGCTACTGCCCTGGGTGACGACAGGGAGATGATCGGGAACTGAGTGATCGTCGGTATGTTATCGCTCAGTTCCCCATCAATAGAGCTGATGTGTGACAGCTTAAGTGTCAGTCGGTGGCTCTAATTATGTGGGCGAGTGTAACTCGCTCCCACCATAATTCTCCTTTTAACTGCTGGTTTGTGTCTAGGTTAAAAAAAAGTTATACTCCCCTCCCCTCCAAAGCTCCGAGCCAGCTTCTTCTTAGACCGGTCCTTTCAGCCTCTCTTGCCCTCTTCTTCAGCGGTCTGAGGTCCCATAGATCGTCTATACACCGTGTATAGATGTAAGGCTGCTGAGGAAGATTCCAGTGCTGCAGGGAGGGGAAGGCAGGCTGGAGGAGTGCCATGACAGCTGGCGGGCTTGGAGCAGGCAGTGTCCCCATTATGCATTTCTATGCTTTTAAGTTAGTTAGAGCATAGTTTAGTTAAAGGGCCAGCCCACACATAATAAATGTCATAACGTTAAACTACCTTACAAATGTATTTATCTCTTTGGAGCTTTACTGGTAAGTTCTCTGAGCTTGAGTTCTTGAATATGCACACTTGCTGTGGCTAATATGAGAGTTCCAATGTTATATTATGTAGACTGGCACAGGAGTGGCTAAAATGTGCAAAGATGGGCAGGAACACTGAAAAAGGTGCATGTTGTCAAGAACAGAGCTTGTAATTATAGGGAGTTCCTTCTGTTGGGAGTATTGTATATGAGAAGTCAGGGGGACTAATATACAATGGGGGGGGGGGGGGGGGGG